CTGAGCGTAGCCGCTCCAGAGAGGACCCCCAACAGAGCCAGGTGTATGATGAGGCGGAAATTGATGTGGATGTGACATGTGCAGATGTGGTTGTTGGGATTGCTGGACATCACCAAGGCCGACACTGACATTGGGCGTTCCTGGACAGGAACCTAAAAAGTGGCCTAATCCAGTCTGGTTACATTCACCCACTTGGCTATGCCCACTGCTAGCATCGCATTCATCCGGCTAGGGAAAACAAAACCAAGTGTGTAAAATTGTATTATTAAAGTCTCAGCCTAAAAGTCTAAAATCCCTAGAACCTTGGAAATCCAATGATCGGCTTGGAAAAGAATAAGCCTTATTAAAAAATAATCCTATGTGATTTAGTAATCTAACCCAAAAGTCACATTGCCAAAATAATAAACCTGCGTCTACTCATTAAAAGACACTTACTTAATCCCTCATGACAGCAAGACAAGTGCTTCTTGCAAAGTTGTGTATTTAAGACAGAAGTTCACTTTTATAAAATCCTTTTTGAAGCATAGAGCAAATTATTTTTTGTTTATAAGTAAGTGATCGAAAGTACCAGTAGAACATATATATGAGATATATTCACCCTATTTCGATAATGTGATTAAGGGGTAGGGATTGACGTATCAAGTGGAGCATCAAGGTTCGAGTCATGCTAGAGGTGTTAAGGAGACCTAGGCGAGGCCAAAACTGCAATCCATCCAGGATAATAATACCTTTAGGGATGATAAGGTCTAGTCATATAATTGTGGATAAATTTTACTACCAGTCATTCACTCCTTTAAAAGAGAATTAGTTAACATATATCATAAAAGTAGAGTAAATGCACTAAAATTAAATGTTCGAAGTTGTTTGACCTTGTTTTCGAAACTCGGTCATATTAGTAGGAAGACTTAGAAGAACGTACCTAGTCCGGAGTCCATTGTATGAATCATCATTTCCAGAGTAGGACCGTGGACGTGGTAAATTCCATGACGTTTCGTCAGCATCGTAATCAGCATCGTCAGTGAGTCTCGCCATTCTTAGCACCATAGTACAGCTCGTCAAAGAGACAAGTGAAACGGATCATTTGACCAAACGTGTGCTAAACAGTTGTGGTATCTTCTCTTCTGCCCTGGGCTATTCACATTTCCTATATCTTATCACGCCTATATGTTCACAAATTTTACCGTGCTTATTTTTATGTAGTGGTGTGCTCCTTCAAGCGGCATTAATGAAAACCCTTAACACTCCACACTGTGGTTATCACCCCTTTTGGGTTGAACTCCTACGTTGAACCTAATCAAAGCCAGCAGTACCACAACATTTGTGGGTTGTTACCCCTTCTCTTGTGACCCCTTCTCTTTCGATTGGCTGATCCGACTCAGGCTTCCAATCCGGATCCCCTCATTGTCTGGTAGATCCGTTCCTTATCTTTCTGGTTGACCGATTTCACTCGGTTCTAGTCCCAGTGTGCATTTCACTCCA